GTCCTGCCCAGCATGCTGGAGGAGATCCTCAACACCAGATTAATGGTGAAGCAGTCAATGAAGAGCCACAAGCAGGACAAAGCCCTGATGAGGCTGCTGCACGCCCGGCAGCTCGGACTCAAGCTCATCGCCAACGTCACCTTCGGCTACACGGCCGCCAACTACTCTGGACGCATGCCCAGTGTGGAGGTGAGCCGCCACCTTCTGCCGTCCTTAGCTCTCAGGGGGCATGGGTGGGACTAGGCTCAGAAACGCCAAAGGTGATCCAGACACCAGAGAATCAAAGAGAGCAGTTAAATAGTTACACAGCCACCATGTTTTTGTAATTCTGTTGTTTCCAGGTGGGAGACAGCATCGTGCACAAAGCCAGAGAGACCCTGGAGAGAGCCATCAAGCTGGTTAATGACACTAAGAAATGGGGAGCGCGAGTAGTGTATGGAGACACCGACAGGTACGCAGGGATGCTCATTCTTTTCCACCGTGGCTCTAACCCACAGCAAGTGAGTTAGATTTCAAACCGGGAAACCTCTTCCTGTGAGGCCCAGGTGTTAACCACCCGACGCCCCCGAGGAAAACTAAAAGATAAATGCAAACATGGACAAAAAGAGAACACAGGCCATGCTGTAAATGCATCTGAGGTAGTGCCACTGGCAGAGACGTGCATGCTGAGAGGAGATAAAAACGAAGAGCACTCAGAGCTCTGCAGATGATTTACTGAGGCATTCAGGGTCCAACTGGAATCTTGAGAACCTCCTTCTTGGACAGATGTCAGGTTGTGAGTGACAGAATCATCTGGTCCACCCCCCCCCCCCCCCAGGGAGACGGTATCATATCAGGCTGTGTCCATTTTGCCCTCCATTACAGACTAGCTGCACTGTCCTGCTCCTGATCCAAATGAAATGCATCAGGATTTGAGGAAACAATTTGTTTGTTTTTTTGTTTTTCTTTTGTTTTTTTACCTTGTCCTGTTCAGCATTATGGTAGTAGAACTGAAATCTGCGTACCGTGCTATGCTGAGCAAAATTGCTTTGCCAAGGGAGGCTTTGTTAGTGATTAACAAAAACTTCTTTATTTATTCATTTTTGTTACCAAAACAATCTTAATGAGTGCCTCCGTTTTCTTTTAGTCATTACAATCGAATAGCGTGTCCAATACACAGAGAGACAAAAACAGCAACCACCAGAGGGTGTGTGTGTCTGGTCAGCAGTGTGCTGACCCGCTTTGTCCCCTCTTTTGTTGGTCAGCATGTTCGTTCTGCTGAAGGGCGCCACTAAAGAGCAGGCCTTCAGGATCGGCAGCGAGATCGCCGAGGCGGTGACCGCCACCAACCCCAAGCCGGTCAAGCTCAAGTTCGAGAAGGTGAAGCCTCACCACACACACACACACACACACACACACACTTCTCTGACCCCGTGCGTGCGGCCCCCAGGTGTACCTGCCCTGTGTGCTGCAGACTAAGAAGCGCTATGTGGGCTACATGTACGAAAGCCTGGACCAGGTGGAGCCTGCGTTTGACGCCAAAGGAATAGAGACGGTGCGCCGGGACGGATGCCCCGCCGTTTCCAAGGTAACGGGCCGTCCGGCCACCAGGGGGTTTGCTCTTGTGTTCGGGCCTCAGATTAGGGATGCAAACGGTTAATCGACTTTAGATGAATTGTCGATCAAGAG